TCACAACCGAGTGGGACCATGCTGACTTGGTCTAGTTTGGAAGAGGCTTCTAGCAGTAGCAAAGAAGCAAGCACCTATCTTATATGTCATAATATAGCCATAATAATTTTTATTATCCTCCCTATATATAATTTCAGAATGCGCTGAGCTTACGTGGCTGCTTCTGGTGCTTCGTAATCCTACTTGGCGAATATTCATGCTTCGTAATTAGGTTTGGACAAATAATATTGATATATTAATAAATAATAATTTTGGTTTGGACATTCCATAAATATTATTTAGCTAACTTAGGTATTTTAATATCAATAATTGTACGAATATAACCCTTTAATTCTTTGTATTTTACATAGTGAGACACTATAAGTGACTAATGTATCTCTGACTTTTGATTTGTTTCCTTCAATTAGCTATTGAATTGTAAATGTACTTTAAAAGTTGATAACTTTTGTATTTCTTATCGGTTTTACATATATAATATATCAAATTAATCATCTTTTGATGATCTTTGATTTGACATCCATATTGTATATATGAAATAAATAAATTATATTTATCTTTATAATAATAAAAAATAATAATATTTTTTAAAATTCATTAGAAAAATAAAATTATTTCTCAATTGATATATTTATGTTTAATATAGTTATTTTTTGTAAGTTAAAAAAATTTATTACAGTATAACACATGTAAGTCGCACAAATAAAAAGTGTCATACTAACTATATAATAATATATATCATCTTTATTGATTTTCAACTATTTTTCTCATTAATTTTATATTTTAAGAAAAAAATTAGCACACACCCATATAATACACGGACGTTGTACTAGTATATATATTATGTCATAATATAGCCATAAAAATTGAATATATACCAAACAAAAAATGTATACATTTAAATCAAACTTACGTAATTTCATATACACAATGGTTTCATGAACTTAACACATCACTCCAAACAACACAAAATCACTAAGAAAAATATATACAAGGAAGAAAGAAAACGTGTTTAACTCCTTAACCCACCGCACTTAAAAAAACAAAAATTACGTTAGAAATGCCGCCCAAATCCTCACACCAGTCAACCTCCACCACGAGCCTCCCGTCCTCCTCCGACCAATCGAATGCCGCCACCTGTCCATTCACGCACGCCTTCTTAGGCGCCTCGCTCGAGTACGCCAAGAACTTCCCGCCTCCTTTGACCTCAATCTTGACCAACGACTCGTCGCACACGAGACCCTCAACGGTTCCTCCGCAATTCAAAAAGTCGGTTATCCCAACCGGCGCAAACTTCACACCATCAAAGCCGACCTTCATAACCGGCACAAAGCTAAAGATATCGAAAGCCAAGGGCATAATGGTAACTGACACGGGATCCGAGTCCCTCGTTGCCATAAATAGCTTCTCTGCCTCCGTTAGATAAACCGCGTATTCATCCGCCTCTCCCATTTTGTCCATTTCGCCCTTTTGCTCCCACTCGACATTGCTGACGTGGACCGACACAGAAAGTGGCTTGTAGCATTGAGAATAGCCTTTAATCCTTCGCTCTTCGGGTCCCACCCGGCGCCTTGGCAGTTGAATGCCCCAACCACACCTCCGTACTATTACATAAATTAACTCGAACAATTTAGATTACACGACCAAATAACCAATGGGAAAATGCTACACTCATGTGTTCATATGAAAACTAAAAATGTAATGACTGAATTGAAAATCATTCTCTCCCCAGAGATTGTAGCCTTTCATTAACCAATGTACTTCATCAAAATATAGGTAATTGATTTAAATCAAATTACCTTGTTCAAATTCCATATCTTGAGAACTGTGGTGCTGTCAAAGAGGGGGTTCTTAAAGAGGCAGTCACGGGTGGAAAGAGCAAAGTGAATGCATTTCGGGATTGTGCCGTCTTGAAAACGAGCTTCCTCAGAAGGTCGAAATCATGTCCACCCAAAGAATCACTCACGTAAATGGGCCCGCCACAGTTGGCCCTTGAGCCCGCGTGAAACTTGGCGCATTTATGGTCCGACTGAAACATGTCCCAATCGGGCCAGATAAATTGGCCCATCCACAGGCTGTTGTAGGCACAGTGGATCATGTGAACCCCTTGCAGCCAGTAGACTCCCATTGGGTCACCATTTGGGTCTTGGAACCAAAAATCATCACCTGTTTATTCAAAACAGAGAAAGTTTATATAAAAACTATAGACTAAAACAAACATTAATATGAGGGCAAAGCTTTTTATTTTCCTGTTTTTGTTCTAACCAACTCTTCCCATAGATATCTGCTCGGTTCCGAGGAAAAAGAAGTCGTTGCAGTGTTGCATGCTGGAAATAAGCCCGGTTCCGTTGAAATTCTTGGAAAGAGATTTCGACAGCCCCTTGTAATAAGCCTTGGCGAGCTCGACCCTTCCTCCATAATCTTCGGACACGTATTCTAGTACCTTCATCATATAACATGCACAAGTGTTTGTACAAGTACAAAGAGTAGTACGACAAGTTTGTTACAAATTTACAAAATCCGAAAAAACAATTTACATTGATAACATCGGCCTTCACCCCCGTGATCTCGACCTCATAAAGGTACGAGTACATGGAGTCGTAAAAATCCTCTGCTCGAGCGGGGTCCACGAGCCCAACCGAGCCCTCGACCAACATAACAACCGCAAGGTCCTTCATGGTCCCTTTAAGCCCCGAGGACAATTTGCACGACTCAATTTTCGACTCGAGACGAGTCGCACCCGGGCGGACCCCACCCCAAGCTCCTGCAAGCGCGTGCCAAACGTAAATATCGTCCAAACCTTCGAAATTCTCCCTTAGATCCCTCGTTAACGCCTTCATCCCCGAATCCTCCGCCTTCTTGTCGGCTCCAGACACCCGGTCGGCCATTCATTCCAATTCGCCTTTCAATTTCTCGACCTGACCCGCCTCGTCGCGCGTTTTCTCGGCCATCTCGACCTCGATCGCCTTCGAGATAAGCACCTTCGGCTTCTTGGTGTTGACCGCAGGTCGGCCGGCAAGCCCCACGAGCGACCCGAGTTTGTACTTCTGGAACTTTCCGCACTCGTCCAGCCTGTCGAGTCTGGCTATCACCTTTAGGGTGATTAACGAACCAAACGTAAGCGAACAAATATTCAGTCGAGCTCAGTCGTGTTCGACAAGAGCTCGTTCATTCGTTAATTAAACTGAGTTCAAACAGAAAATTAGGCTCGTTTAATATTGAACGAATACGAGCTCGATAGCGAACGTTCAGAAAATAAATAATTTTTTGCTCAAAAAATGAACAACAAACACAAATAGTGTTCGAACGCAAATGAACACGAGCTCGCAATACCCAAGCTCTGCTCATTAAGTTCAGTTACAGTACTAATCACCTGAGCCTCGCGGAGGACGAGATTCTCCGCTTCGTCATCCTCGTGATCGAAGCTAATGTTCTGCCACCCGTCGTCGATTATCAAAAACCTCGGCGTGAACCCACCGTCGACAAACTCCTTGACCCCGCGCCACACACCAGCTGGCTCGACCGTCAGATAAAACGCGTCCCACGTGCACCAACCGAACCTGTCTGCCACACATGGCGGCGTTTTTTCCTCCCTGAGTCGGAAAGTGTCGAGGTGGACTCGGACGGCAGTGTAAGCCTCTTTGACTAGGTTGTAAGGATTGTCCGAGACGTGCACATACGCAATCGAGTCGAAAGAAGATGCTTTGACTCGGGTTGACCCGCTCTCGGCGCATATTAGCATGTGGCCGGTCGGGTCCCGGGTGGAGGGCCGACCGGAAGCTCTTCTCGATTATCGGGATTAGGATGACGTACGACTTTATCTCCGGCACGTCCAGCATGATCCACTGGGTCTCCATCTGGATTTCTGACCCGGTTTTTCCGACCCATTGGGTCGACCACCATGTTTTGAACCGGAAGATGCTGAGGAAGTCCCGGCCGGAGAATTGTCCAAGGGAGTTCGTGGGGTGGTCGGAGGGATTTGTCTGTGAGAAGCCGAAGAAGCCGGACTTGGAGGAGTAAGAGTGGGCCCGACGGAAAAACGGGCTGGGGTCCCTGGAGGATTTGCATACGGTGGAGAAGGGTTATTTTTTTATTTTTTTATTTTTTCTCTCCCTTTTATGCTAGCGGTGGTTCTATCTTGTTTTGTATGACATCTCAAATTGGTTCCGGAAAGCTCACTCGACATTAGAAAAGACAAGTGGAGTATGGATTTGTAGAAAATAACTTGGTAGAAAAGTATCGGCATGGTTTTATGGGAAAATGTCATTCTGTTGAGATTTGTAACGTTAGATCATTATATAACCATAAAAATAGTTGATTTAACGGTTACAAACCTCGACAGAATGATTCTATAACAGGACCGTAGTATCTTTCGATTTTATGACCACGCCAAATATTTAATTTTTTATTTATTTTTTGTTTGTCTTTTATTTCGTTAAGCGGTTTGAGTGGGGTTGAGGTGGAATAAATTGTAGTTTGAGTGGTGTTGAATATCCAAAAAAAAAGTGCAAATACAAAAAATACTTAATGAAAGAATACTTGAGTGGGGTTGAGGTGGAATAAATTGTAGTTTGAGTGGTCTTTTATTTTTTGTTTGTCTTTTATTTCATTACTTAATGAAAAGGTATATAATATAACATAAAGAAAAGTGCAAATACAAAAAATACTTCTTGATCATTCTTTACGAATTTTCATGGTTTGATAGCGTTCGATAATATTATCATTATTAATTTTCAAGAAAGTTTCATTTCCCGATTATCATTAAACTTTTGATCGTATCTTCTTCCTGCCAGTGATACAAAAATTTCCCTCAAATCTATTTGGATTCAAAGTTACTCCTATTGAGACATTTTAATGACTTCTTTGTTAATGAGAATATTTCTCCAAATCTGATATACAAAAAAAAAAAAAAAATATATTATAAAAATACAATTAATGAAATTCTTTATTTCGCCATATCACACCTTAAAGAGTTATAAACACCTAGAAATGGTTTGAACTTGTAATCTCTACATAAAGAGAATATATACTAGTACCTAAGATAATAAAGAAGAGTAATTTTATCTCAACCTGTTTTTTTTTTTTTTTCTATTCCATTTAATTTCAATTATAATAATAATAATAATAATAATAATAATAATAATAATAATAATAATTGACTATAAATTATTATTTTGTTCATTTCGAACCTCGTTCTTCTTCGTTCATTTTTTATTTTTTTTATTATAATTTAATAGCTTAAATCACCAACACCATTTCTAGTTACTTTTAACGAGTTTCTGAAATCGAGTTGGGTTTCAATATTCATTTATATTCCATTTCAATTAATTACACATACATACTTTATTACTATTATTATTGTTGTTATTGTTATTACTAGTTGTAACCTGTGCATTTGCACAGAAAGCTATATGATAAAGAATAAAATAATAAAAAATTATAAACAATAGTAAAAATTATAACATAATCATCGAAAAAAATATTTTTTAAAAAAATATTATTAAACACTTCTTTATGTGCAACATTCGTGGTTTTTTAATCGTCAAAATCTCCATCACCACAAATCATTATCTTCAAACCCCTTCGGCTCTTAACTCTAGAAAGCGTGACGTACAAATGTTAATGACTAAATACATGGCTCTTCAGTAGTAAGCTGATGTGCGACAGAATTGTCCTTGACTTTTATTGATTGTCATAGCATAGGAAACCATGAGCAGAAATTGTCTGCGCTGAAACTTGAAAGGTACCCTCAAATCAGATGGTATGATTTTGAGTAGAGATGTTAAACGGGCTAGCCCTAGCGGTTTCGGGCTAGCCTTAGCGGGCTTCGGGTTAAACGGTCCGGGCCTAAAAAGCCCGGATTTTAACGGGCTACCAAAAAAATGACCTAACCCTAACCCTAGCGGGCTTCGGGCTAAACGGGCTACGCGGGCTATAATAATAATAATAATAATAATAATAATAATAATAATAATAATAATAAATAAAAAATAAAGAGTAAAAAGTATATAAAAAATAACAACAGATAGTTAAAAATTGTTTTCAACGACTATTTAGTATTTATTGTCTATCACTATGTTTCGTGTGTCTGTTATTGGTCATTCTGATTGGCTTAAGTATTTTGGTATGAAGTATAACAATATTGTTAATAATTATCTTTCAAAATTATAATAATCCATTACACTCATACTTCCATGTGAAGTGGCATACCAATATTGTAATATACAAAGAATCTAAGAGCATATTACTTATTTGATGCAAACATTAACACCGCTCAACCCTAGTTAAACGGGCCAGCCCTAGCGGGTTTCGGGCTAGCCCTAGCGGGCTTCGGGCTAAACGGTCCGGGCCAAAAAAGCCCTGATTTAAACGGGCTACTAATAAAAGGACCTAACCCTGTTTTTTTCCGGGCTAAACGGGCCGGCCCGTCGGGCCAAAGACCATTTAACATCTCTAATTTTGAGCCTACGAATAAGAACCTTATCACCAGCTCTGGCACCGGTTCATATTTTGCATTCGAATACATGGTTGTTGAGCTTAGTAATAACTAATCGAGTATATGTTGATCTCAAATTCGGAAAACATAAACATATCAATCGAATTGTACACTAATCAAAGAAAATATAAATGATGGATAAGAATTTTATTGCCTGCCAATTGAAGTGCACCCTTTGTCGTTGGATACGATTACCATTTGTCGTTGTACTGGTTATGCTGATATCTTCATAACTATCACTTGCAACCCCAATTGGCCTGAAATCAGTCGATTCCTTTCTGAAAGGAACCTCAACCCTGAGGACCGTCTAGATATAATTTGTCGTGTCTTTAAGGCGAAGTTTGATGCACTGATGAAGGATGTTCGGACCCATATAGCACGGCCAAAGTTTTCATCCACCACACATATATGAAACATTTAAGAAGGTGGTAGAGGCAGGTATTTGATGCATGAAACCCTACCACGTGCACATTTTCGCCGTTTCTTTTTTTTCTCTCATCTGACACAAACACTCGGATCGATTCCTATTTTGTTTAGTTGTCGTAGTCATGCTTTTAATTTATCAACGGGGAAGCTATTGATCTAGATGTAAATTGTTTGTTTAAAGGTTTAATATATTTGTATGCTTTTTGTATTATTTCGTTGATAAAGTTTTTGGATCATTTTTTTTGTATAAATTTTCTATGACAAATAATTCTGGTCGGGAAACACCTTAAAATTTTCTATGGCATAGATACGACCCTCATTGATTTTAAACTTCTTAAAATTTTTCAGCGAAGCAACCCGGGCCTGAAGCGTGAATTCACTGACCCTACACGATAAAAAAATAATATTATAAAAAATAGATATTGAAATAGTATGTGAAAAAAAAGACTAAAAAATTTTTTATACCTTGACATCGTGAAATGCGTACTCCAATATGCCATTTGATGTTTTTTTTTTTTATTTTCATTTTATCAAAGATCTTGTTGAATAATGGTGAGTCAACCTCAATATTATCAAACATAAAAGCCATTTGAAATGAGAATTTGGATGATTTTTTTTTTTTCCTGTTGAGTAGTATTTTTAGCTGAATGTGGTTTTGGTTCTTATTTTTTCAGCTATTTATAAAGTTCTAAAAAATGGTCATTGATTGTGTAATTTAATTGCCAAGTGATTGCTTAATTTTAAAGAATAATTGATTGATTTTAATTTATTTTTTTGACTGACTCTAATACTGTCCCGCCATTTTAATTGATGGATTGCATGATTCTTCATTTATGTAAATTTAAAATTTAAGATAAATAATGAGTATATCATATTGTAGAAATTTTATGGTTTGTAAATATAAACGATATAAGTATA